AAACAAGTCTCCAGAAAATGAGCATAAACACAACTGCTGATGAAAGGCCATGAGTTCAGAAATGGGAAGAAGTAGATTTATCCAAATGTGATTAGCTAGTGGTGATAAGGGCAGATACATTAAAGACACACAAGGCCTCAGATCCAAGGAGGGATTGTGCTTCAAAAAAGGAGAGCAGCCCAGATTTATCAAATTTTTCTGGAGGGATCTCAAATTGTTCTGTGATGCAAGGAGCTGAGTCAGATGAAAGTGACTGGCTCTGCAGAGTGGTTGACAGTCCTGGATTATAGCTAAGCTCAAGAGTGCTTCCATTCAATGACTGTCAGTGCTCCAGGACCCAACCCATCCAAAGGCACACAACAGCAAAATAACAACAAACTGTATTGTGTTAAAAGTGATATATAAATGCAATGTCCCAAGGTACTTAAACAAGGACTTTATGGAGGAAGATGTGACACTATGGAGGAGTTGTGACAGATGACCAAAACCTTCAAACTGGAAGATTTTACAAGGGTTAAAAAAAAAGGAGGATAGATACAGAGGAAATTCCACAGCATGGGTGCAAGGGATCTAAAGCCATGGCTATCAATGGTAGGGTGAAGTGGAAATCTGGAATGCTCAATGGTCACATTAAGAGGCCAGAAAACCAGCAGCTGTGATCCATCATGGTCAGATAAAGACACAGCAGGAGGTGAACCTTCTGATAGACAGGTTCACGATGTCAGTTGGCCTGTAAAAAGCAGCAGAATGGCATCTGTGAGGAATTCTAGAATGTATTTCTCTTCTCAGAGGAGTTATTGTACTCTCATGTTCCAAAGTAGAATGCAAACTATAAGAAAAGGCTGAACTGGGATCAGTGAAATGTGGAGGTAGAACAGGACCTTTCTCACCCAAGAGTTGGAGTCAGGAATGTTCCCTCTAAGGTGCACCCATGTTTGGCTGTGCAGCAATCTGGAATATACAATGCACAAAAAAAAGGAACAGGCTAAACATAGCTTTGTGACAATTCAGTGCCTTTTCCAACGTACGTTACCCATAACAAAAAAAAAGTGCTCAATGGATTTTGTAACCGACTCAGTATAAAGAAAACTTAGAGGGAACATTAGTCAATGCCCTCTGACTTTGGATCAGTTCTAGCTGCCTCAGGACAATCCAAAATTGAAACAGGGATACAAAAGGTGGTGTTAGGTCTTTCACTTGTAAACAAGGTAATTCTTGCCTGATTCAGTATTGGTAAAGGATGCATCTTGTTTTTACCAAAGATGGTGAGCAGCACATTTCAGGCTGGTGGTATGTGTGCATTTCCTATCTAGATTCTGAGGCCCAATTTAACCCCCAAGATGCTTTTTGGGAGAATAATATAAATTTATTGCTAGGGTTGGTGAAGACATTGATGAGAATAGTGTCCATGGCTAAAGAAAAGGTTTCTGATATCTTGCAGCTGTTACAGATCCCTTGAGATCTTTTCTTAGTTTCCTTTGTAGTTTAATTATTAACATCTGGTATCTCATTTTCATCATCACGTGGGTGCTTAAGATGAATAGTTGTTTCATTGGCTATAGCACAACTGGATTTAAAGCAGTAAAACATCTCAAGGCACCACACAAAAAATACTATCAAATGAAATTGACAGTGAATTACACAAGGAGATAGTAAGACAGGTTACCAAAAACCTGTTCAAAGAGATTGGTTTTAAGGAACATACTAAAGGAGAACAGAGAGACAGAAAGGTTTAAGAAGGGAATCCCTGAGTTTTGGGCCAAGGCAGCCTGCAAGTACCCTGCGAATGAGAGAGTAATTAAAATTGGGGAAGCAAAAAAGTCCAAAATTGAACACTGCATGGACCTTGAGGGCTTATAGTGCTGGAAGAGGGTACAAAGATAGGAGGAACTTTAAAACTAAGATGATATTTTTAAAATCAAGGCAATAAGGTCAGAAAGCATAGGGTGATGGATGAACTGTGGAGGAATTCAAGTTTATGGAGGGCAGAAGACAGGAAGCCAGCCAGGAATACACTTTAGTGATCTAGACCACAGATCAAAGGTTTCCACAGCAATGGAGTAGAGGCAAGGGGAGAGCTGGCTGATAATATGCAGATAAAAACAGACACCCTTGATGATGGAGCAGACATCTGATCAGACGTTTACTTCAGGATCAACAGGACTCTAAGGTCTTTATGACGAATGAAGTGCATAGAAAGCAATATTAATGCAGTAGACAGATTAACTTGATCATACTTATTCAATTAGAGAAAATATTGCTTCAGATTGGCTACATATAATCATATTTGCCTAACTCAGATGCCAAGTGGAATGATTATTAAAAAAAAGCAAGGTTCCCAACAAGACTAATTCTGCATGGAATAAAATTAAGAAAAATTAAAGTGAAAAAAAAATTCTTTGACGATCACTGAACCTACTTGAATATGCCAGGCCATAAATTTTCAGATGCGCACATGCACACAAATGAAAAAGCATGCAGTTTGTGGTCGGGAATTTGAGTGAGAGCCTTAATCCAAACTAAAATTTCTTGCAAATAAGGCCTACAAAGCACAATTTAATTTCTAGAAATCAGGCACAATTGTTTAGATTGTGTGAGGGTAGAAGCTTGAATTGTTAACTGTCTCGAAGTTTCCAAATCATGAGCTGACTGGAAAATTAAGTTGCTCTCTCTCATTGGCCCACCTAAACACCCTTCAATGTTGCTCAAGATAGTTAGTCCAAAACTGCATAACGCACATTAAAATTTGTCAACAAGGCATCAGAAGCATCACATAACTAACATTTGTTATCACTGTGGTAAATACAAGGTCTGGTCATCCTACTGCCCACATGCACAAACTTGTAAATCTGAACCTTTAATCTAAATATACTCAGTTCAAAATGATTTATACATTGGAGAACATCTGCTGGTAGAGCAGAGAGTTAAGTAAGATCAAGACTTGATATACGAAATAATCATATTCTGTCTCAAACTCTTTGTGTGGTATCAGAACAACAACCAATGTATCCTTGTGTTATTAATTATCAAGTGAGGCAATTTGCCAAAAGATGAATCATTTCTACTTAAAATACAATCACCAGTGCTGTGGTGCTGCCCTCTAATGAACTACAGAATGAAAATAAATCCTGAAGTATGCATGCATGAAAAGCTACAACATAAAAGATACCTTTAAATGTTTTCACAGTCAATTTCACTTAGAAACAATCCAAACAAAAAAGTAACCCTTAAATACACTGGGGGCATCCTGCACCCTCACAAAAAGAAAGAATTTTAGAAAATTACTACCACTGACTCTTCCTCAAGTGCTATTTATTGGTAAAATCATTATGCTCAGGAGAATTCTCCTCAGATATATACTTCAACCCATCTGCAATAATTGTGTAAAACAAATGAAACAAAATGAAAATGACAGATTGTTGATCATTATAAAATCAGTTGTGTAATGGCACATTTTCATAATTAACTAAAATTAAAATTAGCAATTAATTTTAAAGATAACTTTTGTCAGTTGCAGTAATGAGGATATGGGAGAGTGGCTGCTGACCTAAAACTTGGATAACTAGTGATTTAATTTCAAGGTTAAAAATCCAAACATTCAACTTTATGTTTTCAAAATTAACATTGTTGTTCTTTTACTCTGCATTTTACACTATGCTAATAATTTCAAATGCCAGCTATGTATACTGACAGGTAGAAATTCCACCAAGCATTGCCATCATCAATATATAGTGAAAACATTCTTATCATTAGAGGTATAAGAGTCATTGAATCATTACACAAACAAAGTTGCTGGAAAATCTCAGCAGGTCTGACAGCATCTATCAAGGAAAAAACTTCCTCAGTCACCGGACCCAAAACATCAACTCTGTTTTTTACCCTTCACAGATGCTGCCAGACCAGCTAAGCTTTTCCAGCAACTTTGACTTTGTTCCTGATTTACAGCATTCACAATTCTTTCAGTTTTCATTGAATCATTAATTGCACATTAGTTGGCCATTCAACCCATCAGTGCATGCCACCTCCTTGAGTCCCAATCGGTTCTGTAGCCCTGCAAGTTTTTCGTCAAGTGCCAAACCAACTTCCTTTTGAAATCCTTGATTGTTTCCACATCCACCAGCCTAATGGACAGCAAATTCCAGATCATATTGTATGGACGTTGTCTGGCACATGAATCAATGATCTTGTGAGGAGCAGGTCAATAAGTGGTAACAAAGAAATAAGGAAGAAGGCTACCTTATGTCATCCAGTACTTACATGCTGACCAGGCCTCCAAAATGTTGTAATACAATTTGTATTGGTTAATGGAAAATTGTAACAAAGATGAAAATCCATTAGTTTCTTTCAAAGCAATGTTTCTGCTACAAACTGACGTTTTATAGAAATGCTGTATAGCATAACTGAAATGTAGCTAATACTTCATTGCAGACAATTAAGCAATATTAATGCATGAAGTAGGTTTAAAGTACTGGCACCCACATTGCCAAAAAGATGCATACTTTTTCTTCTTCATTCATGGGATGGAATTATTGTCCTAGACTGTCCTAACCCTAGACTGTTGCTAAGTGATTACATATGTATTAAAATACATTTAAAATTAGCAATATTCTCCTTGAAAATTCAGTTTCACGTAAAATCATAACATTATCAATTTATTTTACACTTATATTCTGTTGTATTTTGTTTAGTCACTGATAGACTGAACAATGAGGATAGGAGGCACAAGAAACAATATTGGTAAATCGCTTCAAATCAACTTTTGATTATGCTAATGAGAGCAACAAATATTATATTAATGTAGCATTAATCAAAATAAACAATCTCCTAACTAAAAACTGCCCTTGTTTAATTACAGCTTTTTAAAAACTCAAGAATACCAAATTCATTACAATGAGATTAAAGAATACCTAATTTGCAAGGCATGCACTAGAAGTAGCAAACATATACTCATAATTATTTGTCAAACGTGTAAAACAAGATCATTTGATAAAAGCACCTACCTGGCCATCTTGACTAACATGGACCTGGTGTATTTGGAGATTGCCCTTAAAGACAAAAGGAATAAAAAATATATTACTTAGTTCAACAGCTCTTTCATCTTGCAGTTTACCCCATTCATCAATCTGATGGTTCTCTTCTCTTCGAGATATTCGTACAAAAGTTCATCAGTTCACTGGGTAAATGTAACAGATATAGGCACCAACCAATCCTCTCAGAATGAGAGACAATGCGTTCTTGTGCCAACTGTTGAACCATACTGATGATGAATTTTCAGTTCCACACACACTGAAATCACATCAATGGATTCAAACTTCCCAAGTTTTAAGGAATTTCATCATTAGTTAGAACAAATTTCTGCAGTGGTGGATTAACTACAATCAGGCACGTACAAGTAAGAAGTTCAACAGCAACTTCTTCAATAAAATGGAAACAGCAACACTGTAAACACAAAGCAGATCAATCAACATCTGCAACACGGATTCTGAGTTTTAGATGCATATATCCTTCAGAGTTCCATTCGAAGTAACTGTCTTATCATGAATTTCAGCTATGAGCCCATCACAAGCAAACATTTGAGATAAGTTGCAAATAATATTATGTTACTGCTGAAGACGACATTTTGCAAAGTTTTTTGTCTTGAATGAATATCAGTGTAAAGGGGAACAATATTTTATCCTATTTAAGAGAATGCTGACTGAAGGATAAGTGCACTTTGAATGGTAGAGGCGTTGCCATGTAGAATGCATGCATTAAATGATGGCTGTATACTAATTATTAGGCAGGGTAACTTTGATTCGGTCAACTTGTTATCCTGAGGAATGATCCAGGGAACAGATGTCATAAATTTTGTTAAAATGACATTGATGCAATGTATATACCTGCCTTTTCTGTCTGCAAAGAAAAGGGCCCTGTCTATTAATCTGCATAGCTTCCACTATGCAAATGCACTGCCTAAGAATCTAATTGACTATTTATAAACTGATTGCCAGCATTATTCTTATCATACTCAGGATTACTTAGCAAATGTTATTGAATCACAAAATCTCATCTAACGTTAGACACTCATTTAGCCCAGTAGGGACTCCACATATTGGAAAAAAAGAGAAAAGCACTAAAATACAATTTGAATGCATAACTGGTCAAACAAGATGTTTCCTTTGAGTATACCAATAAAGAAAGGACTTGAATATAAATTTTATGTGACTGAATATTCCAGAAACGAAAGAAGTTTCATTAATTAACATGCCAGAAGTTTCAAAGATTGAATTAAATTGGAAAAGGGAACTGATTGAAAATTGAAAGATGACAGAGGACATCTGAATAATAGACGCAAAATACTGCAGATGATGGAAACCTGAAACAAACAGAAGAGAATGCTGTTGAAATTCAGCAGGTCTGGCAGCATCCGTGGAGACAGAAACAGTGTTGGTGCTTCGAGTCTGGTATGACTCTTCTTCAGAACTGCTATTCTGAACTCCAGCATTTTCTACGTTTGTTTAAAATGATGAGTTAGACAAATAATCATAATAAAATTACACAGAAAAATAAAAACGCTAATTCAAAATCAATATTGTTGAATTTCAGCGGCAAATTAGAATTAGAGTTACTCTTGCAAAAGAAGCACATCTGTTTATTGGGAGTTCAAACGAAGTTAAAAATATTCTGCTATCTCTTGCACTTATTAGCAGAGAAGGATAACATAGCTTTGACAGATATTTTGTTTGGTTGAACAACTTCATAGGCTGATAAAATATGCTGACTCATGCTACTGATGATTTATATATCCATAGTACTCTGCCTTCTGGATGAGTGCTCTGGCTTTTCAACTCTGATCAAGTGGGTAAAACTGCCATTTTATTTTCTGAACGTCACTCAAGTTTGTTTTACTTTTGCACCTTCAAGCAGGTCTTTTTTTTTCTGATCTGTATATACTTTCTTTAGCATGCATTTACTTCAGTTTCATCACAGCAGTGAAACAGTAGGCAGCAAGAGGATATATCAGTTGTACAGTTGTATAGGACTTTGGTTTGACCACATTTGGAATACTGCGTACAGTTCTGGTCGCCACATTACCAAAAGGATGTGGATGCTTTGGAGAAGGTGCAGAGGAGGTTCACCAGGATGTTGCCTGGTATGGAGGGCGCTAGCTATGAAGAGACGTTGAGTATATTAGGATTATTTACATTAGAAAGACGGAGGTTGAGGGGGGACCTGATTGAGGTCTACAAAATCATGAGAGGTATAGACAGGGTGGATAGGGAGAAGCTTTTTCCCAGAGTGGGGGACTCAATTACTAGGGGTCACGATTTCAAGGTGACAGGGGAAAAGTTTAAGGGAGATTTGCGTGGGAAATTCTTTACGCAGAGGGTGGTGGGTGCCTGAAACGCGTTGCCAGCAGAGGTGGTAGAGGCGGGCACGATAGCGTCATTTAAGATGTATCTAGACAGATACATGAATGGGCAGGGAGCAGAGGGATACAGATCCTCGGAAAATAGGTGACAGGTTTAGATAGAGGATCTGGATCGGCGCAGGCTTGGAGGGCCGAAGGGCCTGTTCCTGTGCTGTAATTTTCTTTGTTCTTTGTATATCGAGGCCCAGCACTCTTAGATTCAACACAGCAACAAGGCATAGTTTAACAGCTGTAGATTTTGGGAACTGCTGATTGGGGGGGAGAAAAATAACACGTCATCTGTAAAATGTAGGAAGTCAGGGGCCCAACTGGCATCCTTGACTAGCATATGTGAAGAATGTACTTCCAGCTGCAAAAACAAGCTCTGAGATTCTGAGCCTTAATGATGATTGGAGTCACTGCAGCACATCCTCAAGGCTGGGAATTATGTGGATAGCATATTGAGACAGCTGTTCACATAGCAGCTTAGAAGTGCAGAGGAAGGAAAGTGACCACCAGGCAGTCCAAGAGAAACAGGCAGGTGGTGAGGAGTCTCGATGTGCCACTCGCAAATCGGTTCTCCATGTTGGAATTTGGTGAGGGTGCTGATTACTCGTGTGAATGCAATAACAGCCAGGTTTGTGGCACTGCTAATGGCTCAGCTGCATGGCAGGAGAGAAAGAGAACAAGGTAGGGATGATAGTGACAGGTGATTCAGTAACTGGAGGAAAAGACAAAAATTTCTGTGACCATCAATCTGACTCCAGGATAGTGCCAGGGTCCACAATATCACAAAGCAGCTGCAGGACACTCCTCTGGAGGGATGGCAACCAACCAAGGCTTGTGGTCTATGTGCACAGAACCTGTCCATCACAGAATCCCTACAATGCAGATAGAGGCCATTCAGCCCATCGAGTCTGCACAACCCTCTACACAGCATCACACCCAGATCCCAGAGAATGGCACGCAACAATCCAGAACAAAAAAAAATTAGTTGGCAGAGAGCAGATGTCGAATCAGTAAGATTAGAGTTGGGCAGGATTGACTGGAACAAGAGGTTAGCATGTAAAACAATAACTGAACAATGGAACATCTTCAAATAGGAGATGTTTCGGGTACAATGAAGGTGTATTTCCTCAAATGGAAATGGCAGAACAAATCAATCCAGAGCCCTGGATGTCAAAGGAGATAAAAGATTTTTTTTAAAAGTGTGCTTGCAACAAGTGTCAGGTTGAAAATGAAATTGACAACCAAGGGAAATATCAAAGGGTCAGAGGAGAGGTAAGAAAGTAAATAAGAGAAACAATGAGGAATTATGAGAAAAGCTTGGCATTCAACATAAAGGGTGTCCTAAAGTCTGCTATAGCCAATAAAAATAGTAGAAACATGATAAAAGGAGGGCCAATCTGGACCAAAAAGCAAATTTACACCTGGAGACAAGGGGCATGGCTGAGACGTTAAATTGCATTTGTCTTTTCCAACAGAAGAGAAAACTCAGTCATTAGAAGGGTTGAAAATAAATAGGACAAAAGTATTAGCCGGACTTTTGGTGCTTAAAGTTGACAGGCACCAAGATCGGATGAGATATATCCAACAATTTTGAAGGAAGAAAGAGCGCAAATTGCAGTACACTAGCTGAAATCTTTCAGCCTTCCCTAAACTTGGGGGCAGGTGCCAGAAGACTGGAAAGTTGCAAATGTTGCTGCCTTGTTTAAGAAATGTTGTAAGGATAAACGAAGCAAATACAGTCAGTAGTTTAACTCCAGTGGTGGGGAAACTTCAAGACAACTTTTCAGAATTGAATTAGTACTTGTATGGAAAAAGGAACTGTTATTAGGAACTGTTAGCATGTTTAACTAATTTGTTGAATTTTTTTTAAAGATGTAACAGTAAGGCTCAATAATGGTTATGCTGTTATTGTGGTGTATATGGACTTTCAGAATGCTCTTGATACAGTGTCACGCAGCAGACTTAAGAAGAACTATAGGTCATGGAATAAAAAGGTCAGTAGCAAAAAGTCAGTAGTAGAAACTGGCAAGACAGGTAGACAGAGTAGTAAGTAAAGGATAGAGCATCCTCGGCTTTATTAATAGGGGCACAGAGTACAAGACTAAGAAGGCAATATTGAACTTATATAACTTGTATAACTTATTAGACCTTAGCTGAAGTACTGTGTGAAATTCTGGGTGTTATATTGTAGGAAAGATGTGAACACTGTTACGGACCTGATCAAACCCCTCAAAATATATTAGGAAGACAGTCTAGACCCCAACTCATGTTTAAAGGCAAGTGTAAGGTGTTGCATTCTGAATGTAATTCGATTATTCAAATTACCAGGCTTGAAGCAAAACACACTTTATTCTTACACCATAGTTAAAATACAAACAAAAGAAAAAAGAATTGGCTTAACACGACTGGAAAGTTTAAGAGAATAATAGATTATTTAATTACTAAACAGCAACTGTTCTGATATAGTAACATTCCATAAACACAAAGTGCAAAGGCAAATTCAGTAAAATAAATTGTCCCATGCAATTCTCCCAGAAGGAAGATAATGCAAGCTTTTAGCTGTAACAGTGGGAGGAAAAACTGCTTCCACATCTATCTTCAAGACCCCAACAACTACTGAAAGTGGAAGTAAAATCCCTCTTCTGTAGGAGCTCTACCCCACCCCTTCATGCTGCTTCTGTTCTTCCAACTTAAAAAATACTGAAGCCTCAAGCTGTTTACTTTAATGGCTTGGAACAGAATGCTCAGCACCACTGTCTCAACTTCTCTTCATAAAAAAACCAAGACAAAATACACCTCTTAAACCCATAGAATCGTCAAACCTCCTCCCTTAATAAAAAAGGAACCATCAATATACAAAGATAGCTTCTCTTTAAAAACCTTCAGTCTTACACTATGAGAACACTTAAATACACATACATTATTGAAAACCTACAATGCAGTTGTGACAACGTGTTAGCAATTACGTTCTTTCATGCTGCCAAATGCATAATTATCAAATTGAATGACTGAAATTATAAGCTCCATCTAAATAATCTGGATTTTTTATTCTTAAATTCTTCCAAAAACTTGAAGGGATTATGACCTGTATATACAATTGTTACAGACACATTACTGCCAACAAACTCAAGGTCTCCTTCTCAAATGTGGAATATTTCTGTTGATAAATATTCCACTTTTTGGAAAAATACCCAATATCTCCTTCTATCTTCTCGTCGTCATCTGGCAAGATTACGGCACCACGATCCGCATCACTTGCTTTGATAGCCACTTAGAATGGCTTTGTGTAATTAGAATAGGCTAACAGTGGGGTGGTAGTTAACAAAGCTTTCAGGTTGTCAAATGCCTTCTGACATTCTTCCATCCACTGAAATTTTCTGCGCTTCTTCAACAGGTCAGTCAGTGGAGCAACCACACTGCTAAAATTTGGTACAAGTTTTTGATAAAAACCACTCAGTCCCAGGAATCAAGAATGGTATGGGACACTCCCCAGTAATTTTTGTTTTCACATCCCATGGGACCATTTGTCCATGGCCCAGGAATGTGACTTGGGTATTTGCAAACTCACTCTTAGCCAAGTTTCTCTCTAAGCATGCCTCCTGAAGTTAATTGAATACTTCTGCTAGATGCGCCAAATGTTCCTTACATGTGTGATTAAAAATCACCACAACATCTATGTACAGTACACAATTGGGTAATCCTTAAATGACTTCATTGGTTAGTCTTTGAAATGTGATTGGTGCATTTTTCATAGCAAAAGGCATGACTTTAAACTGGAACAGTCCATTCGGTGTCACAAAAGCTGAAATTTTCTTCACTCTTTTGGATAAAGGTACCTGCCAGTATCCTCTGACTAAGTACAACTTAGAAATAAAAGCTGCTGGTCCCACCTTCTCAATAAAGTTCAAATGTGGGTTAGGATATGAGTCAGATTTTGTAGCTGTATTGATTTTGTGATAGTCTGCAAATAATCATTGTGTACCATCTGGTTTAACATAGCAACATTGAAGGTAGGAGCAGGAGGCGGCCATTCGGCCCTTCGAGCCTGCTGCGCCATTCTTCACGATCATGGCTGATCATCCAACTCAATAGCTTAATTTTGCTTTCTCCCCATAACCTTTGATCCCATTCACCTCAAGTCTAGTCGCCTCTTGAATACATTCAATGTTTTGGCACTAATTACTTCCTGCGGTAACGAATTCCAAAGGCTCACCACTCTTTGCGTGAAGAAATGTCTCCTCATCTCAGTCCTAAATTGTTTACCCCAAAATCTCATACTGTGACCCTGGTTCTGGTCACACCCACCATCGGGAACATCCTGTCTGCATCTACCCTGTCCAGTCCTATTAGAATGTTGTAAGTCTCTATGGGATCCCCCCTCATTCGTCTGAACTCGAGTGAAGACAATCCCAACCTAGTTAATCTCTCCTCATACGTCAGACCTGCCATCCCTGGAATCAGCCACGTAAACCTTCACTGCACTCCCTTGAAAGCAATGACACCATCACTAAGGCTGAGCTCCATTCATTGTTTCAATTATATTGTGTTTGAGCATGCTTTCAATCTCTTTTTGAACCTGTGCCAACTTTAGAGAGTTCAGACCATAAGGATGTTGCTTAATTGGAAAGCATTTCCTATATCTACAACATGCATAATCATGTTACTATTTCCGATCTTAATCCCATATATCTCTCCATGTGATTGTAGTAACTCTTTCAGATCATTTCAATTTTCCTCTGGAAGGGAACTCAATTTATCCCAATTTTTTCAGAACTTTCTCATTGTCCAATTTAATTTGAGGAATGTCCACTTTAGAATCATCTGAACTTGGTTTTTCACTCTGTATGCAAAAAATAATACATTCCCCTTATGCTTTCCTTCCTTATCAAAATACTTTGTAAATATATTCAAATGACACACAGATTTCTTCCCATCTGGCATTCTTATCAAATAGTCCATCTCACTCAATTTCCTTTCAATTTGATAAGGCTCACTAAACCTTGCTTTTGAAGATGCACCTACCATCGGTAGTAATACCAACACTTCAGCTCCTCTAGCATAGCTAAGAATTTTTGATTTCTTGTTCTGCTTCCTACTTTATCACATGCTAATGCTGTCTAGCCAACTGACCTGCTCTATTTAATCTTTCCCTAAAAATTTGACACACGGTCCAAACATGCGGTCCCTAACTTTCTCCTTAATTAATTTCAGCAGTCCTCTCACCTCATGCCCAAAAATTAATTCAAATGGACTAAATTTGGTTGATGCCTTTGGTGCATCCCTAATTGCAACAAGTAAAAATGGAACTCCTTTATCCCAACTTGATATAAGCCCTCAACGTGGTCTTTAAGGTTTGATGCCACCGCTTTAATGTTTCCTGTGATTCTGGATAGTACACAGTGGATTTGAATTGTTTTATTCCCAAGCTATCCGTAACTTCCTTGAATAACTTTGATGTAAAATCTGACCCTTAATCTGATTGTATCTCTGTGGGTAGTCCGTATCTAGTAAAAAAATTTGAATAACTCTTCTACAATCCTTGTATCCGTGACACTGTGTAATGGAATGGCCTCTAGAAATCTAGTGGACACGTCCATTATGGTCAACAAATATTGATTCTCTCTTTTTGTTTTAGATAGGGTCCTACACAATCAATTAAGACTCTTGTAAAACATTCCTCAAATGCAGGTTTGAGTATTAAGGGTGCTGGCTTCATTAGTACCTGAGGTTTTCCAATTTCCTGACACATATGACATATCTGTCAAAATTCAACGATGTCTCTATGCAGTCCAGGCTAATAAAAATGTTTTTGTAGTTTGGCTCGAGTTTTCTTTACTCCCAAATAACCTCCTACTGGTAATTCACATGCTACCCTCAACACCACCTTTCTATAACCCACCGGTAATACAACTTGATGCACTTCTGTCCATTTCTCATCCACCTGAGTGTGTGATGGTCTCCATTTCCTGATCAAGATTTCATGTTTAAGAAAGTAACATTCGAGGATACACTCAGATTCTTCTGTGTACACTTTTTGATACAACTGCTTTAGTTTTTCATCTTTTTCTTATAATTCACTTAGCTTCTCTGAACTAAAAATATCCACTTTGTTCTCCACCTGTTCTTGTTTTTTCTCAACCATTTGATCAAACAGAGTTTCAGATAACTGAACTTCAACTTCCTTATCTTTACTCCTTAATTTCTCCTCATGTTTCAACCTGTGGATTTGTTGCCTTGTTACAAGAGTCAGAAAAAGTCCCAGGATATACTTCCTTTAACATTCCAGTTGCCTGATTTTCCACTGGCTTTTCAACCACAGTAGGCATCACTCCCACCTGTGATCCAGCTATATCATGAGCAAGAATAAACTGTGTTTCCAGAACCGAGAAATTCTCTAGTACTCCAACTACCAGTTCACCATTTTTCACTGGATTCTGCAATCTCACCTTGTATAATGGAACACTGCTCTTCTCACAATGAACTCCACACGTTGCCACTTTTCTGGCAATACTCCTTCTCAAATACATATCCCATCTGTCACCAAAGATTGACTTACACCCGTATCTCTTAAAATTTTCATTTCTTTATCTGCTTCTCATGGCATACATGAGTTAACCTTACCCATGCAAGTAAATTCTTTAAAGAGATCTGCCACTTTCTTCGCAACCAACCCTTGATCAGGTTGTACATTCTGTTGCAGCTTTTTACCTTCCATTATGATTTTCTTCATCACTTCAACAAAAATCATTAGCTTATCCTGTTTTCCCACATCCATCTTCCCAGTGCTTTTTCTAAATCACCAACACTGTGACTACAAGTGGTCTATTTTATTACAGTGAAAACACCTGAGATTTTTGTTTAACTTCTCTTTCCCCCTCATGGGTTTCCTTTTTACCCTGTGGTAAATTATCTTCAATGAAATCTCCTTTTCCCTTGTCACCCGAGGATTTCTTTTCCCCAATTTCTAACAGTCACAGCTTAAAATTGATGTTGGATGCCAAACTTTGACTTATGAACCAACTCATAATCACTGGCCATTTCAGCTTCTGGTGCTAGTTCATATGCACTTAAAATAGGTTCTTCACCTCCTCATACTCCCCCAATACCTCCTCTCATACTGATGCAAACTCCTCACCAGC